TTGTTCATTTTTCTTTATGTAACGCACAGTGCTCTCATTCACTCCGTAATGGCGTCCTACAGCAGCATAACCTTTTCCTTCCTTTATCATATCAAGCAGTTGTACCTTCTCATGCAGGGTCATAACCTTTTTCTGGCACTCAGGTTCCTTGCCAGAAGCTGGAGGTGTAGGGTGTTTGAATGGCATTGTAGGGTGTAAATAATATTGTAAAAATAAACACTTGAATTTACAGCCCAAACAACCACGTTGAAAACTCATGCGCGAATGAGAGAGAAACAGCTGATCAGCAGCACGCGTATGCAGCCAATCAGCAAGAAGGAGAAACTAAAGCTGTCAGCCATTGGCTAAATTCAAACCTATTTCCTAGCCTCCTCGGGACTGAGCGTGTGCGTGTGTAGTGCGTTACCGGCTGTGCTTTGCCGTTTGCGTTATGGGGGAAGCTGAGGCAGTCAGCCAATAGAGCCCAGCCCATTGTTCGATGAAGACGTCAATCGATAAAAACTGCTCGAGAGAGTAAATACAGACATACCCTCGAAAAGCGCTTTTAGTTTCTGTGACCTACAAAAACCCAGTTTACTGAGCATTCGTTTTTATGACGTTATGACGCTAGCCCGGTATACAGGCATACGATGCGATAGGGTTAAGAGCCTAACCCGCGAATGGGGAACCGCGAACAGGTGAGGGTATACTGTACACCAATGTTTCTGTCAGTACTAATGTTATATCCTGTACCATTAACCTAAAAGATGCAATCACAGAAATATCTGTCCACTAGCTGAAGTACAGATGCCTTATTGAGCAGGTAGTGCCCTCTGAGAACTTTTTCCAGTGACCATGTATTCTTGTTCCCATGGTTTCAATGGTATATCCACGAAGAACTATTTCTGTGTGGCAAACAGTATTAATTTTATTGATCTGGACACATCAAAAAACTTTACAAGAACTCTCTACAATGGGTGAATCATATGATATAGTGTTACTCATTGAATTTATCATTTGATAACTATCTTTAAGGTTAATTTTTAGTACAAGTTCTATAAAAATATCAACATTAATCCGTTAAACACAAAACACCAGCTCTATTTTGAAACATTTTTATTTTTGAACAAAATTATAGGCTTATACAGGATTTCTAATGCTGCATTGATACACTACTTCTAATTGTATATAAATGGAATTACCGATATTTAACTTTGGTCAAATTTCATGGTTATGGTTTGAAATATGCTTAACTTGCCAGTGGCATTGTGGATTGAAAACAACTCGGATATAGTTAGATTGAAAATTTTATCTGAACTAGAGCTACTGACTAAAGTTAGAACAAAATATGAGCCTGTCTTATCATAACTATAAATAAATAAAAATATGTAATACTTTTGATAACACTGACATATAAATGAAAATTTAAAGTTTGTGGTAAGATGAACTTTCAGGAAGTCATTCGCTGCTGCTCAGTTTTTTCATCAAAGTCTGAAACTTGAGAAAAAATCTTGTCATTCAGAGCTCAAGTTTAGTTTTTTATGTATGTGTATATTTCCTGAGACATTTAATATTGAAGCTTTTTGCTTATTCTAGCCTAACAGAACATATTACCTAGAAGATCCTGAAGGCTATGCTCTGGAGTGGTGTCGGGTTATTGATGAAGTACGGTGGGCAACCTATAAGGTTCAATAGTGCTAATATTGCATCTTCCTATTTGTGTAAATGTACATAGCAGGATGAGATAGTGTGATAATTCATCACATTGGAAAATTAATCTATTTGTTGCAAGACAGTTCCCAACTTACTTGAGTTTTTGATTTATATATTTGTGTGTTTGTATTGCTGTGGATACATAAAAATATCATTAGGTCAAACAGACGAAACCTTTAGATGTAGAAAGGTGTCCGCAGACAATGAACTTCTGAAAATCAGATTATCATGATAATTTGTTTTAAATACTTAGTGTGTTCTTCCTCAACTATTAACTACTTCTTAATCTAGAGAAACTGAAAAGGGTATTGTAATGAATGAATTGTAAAACATAACCAGCTTTGATTAAGAATGCATTTCAAATGTATGTAGACTAAATAGTTTGTATTAGGTATGATACTTAGAACAACCTTAAAACAGCACATATCCTTCACTAGAAGTAGTTTGTTGTACATTCCAGACTTCAAATAAACACCTTTCACTACAAAAAAAAGTCGTTCTTCTCTGCTCAGTTATTTACAATGTATCTGACTAATGCTCATACATACAAGTTTGAAAGATTTTCTAATTACTTGTTTGTACGTGAGTAACATTTGTATGACTGTGTTTGAGAATTATGTCAGTGTTTTATATTTTTAGGAATGGTTTCAAATTTTAATAAAAGGGTAAAAGATAAAAATTATGCTGTCAAACATGGCTTTAAACAGAGGTCAAGTGAGAGTTCTTAAAAATGCATACCATGTATGCATGGGTACCCAAAAACTGCATGCATAATAAATGGTTATGTGTACACAGAGAAAGATATACAGAAATCTTTTACATACCTGTATTTATTTAGACTATA